AGGCGAACTTATTTATGACTTCCCAGAAACAACGAAGGATATTGAAAAAATCCAGCAAGCACACAAAGCAAATATGAGAATATGTATGGTTGCCTTTGCATATCACAAAGCTTTCATGCACACATGGAAACCGGCATACGGGGACCAGACTATCATGTGATGTCCATAAAACTAGATCAGTATCTGGTGGACGTTTGCAAGAAGCAGGAGCAGCCAGATCATATATAGGCAGTCAAACTTTATGTACTACTAGAGATGCTAGTAAGGGCGCCTTAGTGTCGCGCAGGGGCAAGTCGGTTGCCAAAGGGTGTTGAAAACTGAGGGATACATGCTCTTATTACCCCTGTAGTTAGCACCGTCATTGGTTGGTCGTCTAAAAAGTGACATATAGGGCAAACTCGCCCCACCGGCCCCACTCACCAGTCTCTGGTGACCTCGACGGCGTCCTTGTGTGCGATGACCCAGTAACAGCTGCCAGTATAAAAGACACAGCGGCGGGCGGTAAGGATATCAGTCCACTACTGACGAACTGCATCTACTCAGCATGAAGCTGGTGAGTACTGGCGTCGTTAAAACAATGACACGCGAGTAAAGTTTGAAAGTTTTCACACCATCCCACAAGACACACGATTGAATTTGAATACCACAGTAAAAAAATGTGTGGTGACCTCTATACGCTTCTCACGGCACAGCGTTGCCCATTTCCTGACAGAAATGAGCCTCTTAAATAGTGCGAGGCATACATCTAACGTCCATTTCGTTTCAGTTCGTGTTCGCCGCCGTTCTGGCCGTGGCAGCCGCCGCTCCGTCTGGTTCTGCTTACGAAGAGGACATCATCGAGATCCTCAGACAGAATATCGACCACAACGACGACCACTCTTACCAACAATCGTAAGTCAATGAAGAAGACTTTGAAGCTGCCCGTATTACACCATTATTACATCAAAATCAATCCGATATATTCATAGTCAGATACCAACTCAGGGAAAGTCACAAATGGCGGGCCAAAGCAAAGTTGACAATGAATTTGGTATCTTTGAAGACCATGCCATTTAGTTTATTTCTGATTAGAGCCATTCATGCATCGCACCATTTGTCCTGTGCTCGTGTCTGAGGCTATTAAAATAAAGTGGTAAATACACGGAAGGCTAAAGATCAGTTAAGCACACAAACATGAACACAGGTCACCATGGAATCGCACTGACTGCCGGCACATGCCCTTGCCGATTGTCTTTTAGACCCGCTCGTGTCGGTGTTCCGCATATGTTTGGTTTCACCAAACCAATATCGCCGCTATTCTTTACTTATGTCATTCAATTATCCACATAACTCTCAAAAATGTTTATGCGGCACACTGAATACGTACTCATCGCTTACTACTCGCATCATTAAGCTGTTTCGTCATGATTGCAGTTTTGAAACCGAGAATGGCATCTCGGTGTCGGAGTCTGGCCAGACGGAGGATGACGACAGCTACAGTGTGAGCGGCCAGTTCAGTTACGTGGCCCCCGACGGCGTCACCTACACCGTGGTGTACTCGGCGGGCGAGGGCGGCTTCCAGCCGCAGGGCGACCACCTGCCCACCCCCGTGCCCACCGAGTACCCCACCCCTGAAGTGTCTGATGACGACGACGACGAGGAGACGTATGAAGCTCCCGCTGAGGAGGATGAGGAGGAGGAGGAGGAAGAGGAGGAGGTCCGTGCTCCCTACGAGCCTCAGTATGAGCGTGTGATTGTCGGCTACAGGCCTCGCTACAACTAGTGACATTTTTTTGCCATCGTTAACATTTATATCTACCTACCCATATATATATATATATATATATATATATATATATATAGGTGGATAGGTCTATATATCTTAAACGATATGCGCATGGATGTGTTCCCTGTTACAAGTTTCACCCTTATCTGATGCGCAATGTTTTCATTTGTGTGCCGTATCGTCGTCAATACTCTGTGTTTCTATGAAAGGGCGATTAGCTGTTCATCAGTGACTACGCCACTCATGTCTCTGTTATCAGCGATGAGGAGTTTCGTGTAAGTTATGATGAAAGAATATAGCACCAGAATCAGAATGTGTTTCGAGGATGTTAAAACCCTTACAACGCCAAATTAGGACATTGCGCGTTATTGACCGCCAGATATTCGGTCATTAACAACAACTGTACAACAAGCCTAACCCACTTCTATTCAAACGTACGCTTCGACGCCTTAAATCATCAGTCTTTTCAGTTCCTCCATTCATCTGCATGATTGCCACTCATCGCCAAAAGCACAGCTTCGGGATGAACCCAGTGCATTTTCCGTGCCATAGCGGAATATTATCTTTTGCGTATGCTCCGGGAGAGATTTCGGAGACTTCGAAGACTATAGAGTGCTTCTTGACACAATGACGCATGTGGTGTTTTGCTTCATATAGAACCACTTCGGTACGTCGCTGTTCACCAGACTCAGTCATGTTCCGAAGCTAGGTGCTTGGTTTTTCCACCCAAATGTGTCCGCCACAAACCTACACCGAGCGTGAGTCACCTACAAAGGGCATAACATGCTGTTGCATGCGTGCGTAACGTTAGTTGCGTGCTGTCAAAGGGTGATTTGACTAACAATGTCATGTCAGCCGATTAGAAGTTTACATTCCCGGCAGTAGTGCTCCAACATCGTGTGCGCTAGGTAGCACCTGCAGCGCGAAAATAAAAATATGTGAAAATGCAGGTCATATCTTTGCAAATCAACACTCCGGTGGTACATCAGCTATCGAGTGATACGCATTGGGGATGACGACAGAATTAATTACGAAAATAAAATATGACAAGTGTGTTGCGCTGGCACCCAATACCACCATAAGGGTGGCATTGAGTGCGCAGAATTCCAATCTCTCGGTTTTATTATGCTATGTTTTCAGGAGTCGAGGTTTTATAGACATCAATCTGCATTGTGGTCCGTCACATTTAGTTGTGCGCTGTGATAGCCGATAAAAAAATTGCATCGCCGACCGAGGGTGCTCTGAGAATAGCATCGCTTACGCAAGGTTAAACCTTCCGTGCGCAAATATAAATGGCTACAAATCGTATGCCGTGTTTGTGTGAATCGACAGTTCCGCCCGCCCGGCAGCAGCGGTGATAAGCTATCCGAGGGGGGGGGGAGTCAACTGAGTAAAATCTAAACGAAATTCCGACGAGTGTGTTTCACTTGCATCTGATAGTCCTAAGCCAATGCTGTCGAATGCACACGGTAGTGAATCTGGGGTATGAATTTAAGTGTTTTTTTTTTTGGATCGCCGTATTATGGCCATCAGTTTACGTGCGGGCCGGCCCGAGTTAGCCCCAGTGATAGAGTTACATTGGCGGATTTTAGTGCTCCGACAATCCCATTATGTGTGCAAGAATAAAACAAGAGCAAAATCCGTGCAAGACAGAGTAAAATTGGACGCCTGATCTTTGCAAATCACCGCTCCGTTGGGTCCCCAGCCAATGAGTGATACGCTTTTGGGGTTGACAAAATAAAAGCCATAACAAAATCCGGCATGTAGCCGAGATATCAATTCATCTGTCTTTCCATTATAGTGCTTATTCTACGACGAGCAAGGCTATTAGTACTGTCATATCTACAAAGCTGTCAATCGGTGATCTTTCGCCTTCTATTCATTTCTATGACGCAACCAGCCGTGACCAGACACCGTCTTCTCAGCAGCCAGTTGAAGAAATTCGGCTTGGTGATCCCTGATTTACCTGTGATCTCGACCGCAGGCCAGGTGACGTTAATATGTCGTCCGACATGAGCCTGTCTTCCTGTTACTCCACATATGTTATACCAATGAAAGCGAAACTTTCACGTTTATACGCTGTCATTAAGTTTCAGTTACAAAGCCGCCTACGTTTGTCGCCGTGGAGAAAATATCCGAGCTGTTTAATAAACGCGAGATCAAAAGTCCTCCTAAAAATGCATCTTAGGAACATCATTCAGCAATCTGAGGACGAAGCTTTTAATGAAATTATTTGAACGAAAAAGACATAACGTCCGCAGTTACGGCTTAAGCATTCGTGCTGTCAGCGCCAAATTTAATAAAAATGTTACATGCCATAATCTCCGCTGAGGGCAATACTGTAGGTCTAGTGTACCTTCCAAATGCATGACGGGGCTATAAGTCGTCACAGCTTAGGCCATGTACCACTGAAGACGTATTCAGTCACCAATGACAGGTTGATTCAATGTCTTGAGCTTGCTATGGTGTCAAAATGATTGGAAATGGATTGCGCGTATGTAGGTGTGTGTTTGGTACTTAAACTTCATCCTCAGATGCATAATGTTTTAACTGATGGTGCACATTTAATTATATATTGTTGAGCACGTCTCGTATTTCGCCATATTTGAATGTTTTTGGTCCGACTGATCTACACTGCGTTGAAAATGACAAACGAATTTCTTGCAACGTTACTTTACGTTATCTAGCTTGAAATAAAGCAAATAAATGCATGCGAACTTATCTATGGCTTCCCAAAAACAACGAAGGATATTCAAATAACCCTGCAAGCACAAAAAGTCTCAGAAAATGCATGGTTGCCCTTGCATATCACAAAGCTTTAATGCACACATGGAAACCGGCATACGGGGACCAGACTACCATGTGGTGTCCATAAAACTAGATCAGCATCTGGTGGAAGTTTGCAAGAATCAGGAGCAGCCAGATCATATATAGTCAGTCAAACTTGATGTACTACCAGAGATGCTAGTAGGGGCGCCTTAGTGTCGTGCGGGGGCAAGTCGGTTGTCAAAGGGTGTTGCAAATTGAGGGGTGCATACTCTCATCACCCCTGTAGTTAGCACCGCCATTGGTTGGTCCCCTCAGATGTGAAATATCGAGTAAACCCGCCTCACCGGCCCCACGCGCCAGTCTCTGGTGACCTCGACGACGACCTTGTCTGCGATGGCCCAATAGCAGCTGACAGTATAAAAGACACAGCGACGGGCGGTAAGGATATCAGTCGACTTCTGACGAACTCACCTACTCAGCATGAAGCTGGTGAGTACTGGCGTCGTTAAAACAGTGACACGCGGGTAAGGTTTGAAAGTTTTCACACCATCCCTCAGGACGCACGATTGAATTTGAATACCGCGGCAAAAAATGTATGGTGACCTTTATACACTTCTCACGGCACAGCATTACCTATTTCCTGACAGAAATGAGCCTCTTAAATAGTGCGAGGCATACATCTAACGCCCATTTCGTTTCAGTTCGTGTTCGCCGCCGTTCTGGCCGTGGCAGCCGCCGCTCCGTCTGATTCTGCTTACGAAGAGGACGTCATCGAGATCCTCAGACAGAACATCGACCACAACGACGACCACTCTTACCAACAGTCGTAAGTCAATAAGGAAGACTTTGGCGCTGCCCGTATTACACCATCACTATAACATCAAAATTGATCCGATATATTCATGGTCAGATACCAGCTCGGGAAAGTCACAAATGGCGGGCCAAAGCAAGGTTGAAAATGAATTTGGTGTATTTGAAGACCATGCCATTGATTTCATTTTTGATTAGAGCCATTCATGCATCGCACCGTTTGTCCTGTGCTCGTGTCTGAAGCCATTAAAATAAAGTGGCAAATACACGGAAGGCTTAAGATCAGTTAAGCATGCAGACATGAACACGGTTCACAATGGAATCGCACTGACTGCCGGCACATGCCCTTGCCGATTGTCTTTTTAGACCCGCTCGTGTCGGTGCTCCGCATATGCTTGGTTTCACCAAACCAATATCGCCACTGTTCCCTGCTTATGCCATTCATTTATCTACATAGCTCTCTAAAATGCTTACACGGCACACTGAGTACGTACTCATCGCTTATTGCTCGCATCATTTAGCTGTTTCGTCATGATTGCAGTTTTGAAACTGAGAACGGCATCTCGGTGTCGGAGTTTGGTCAGACGGAGGATGACGACAGCTACAGTGTGAGCGGCCAGTTCAGCTACGTGGCCCCCGACGGCGTCACCTACACCGTGGTGTACTCGGCGGGCGAGGGCGGCTTCCAGCCGCAGGGCGACCACCTGCCCACCCCCGTGCCCACCGAGTACCCCACCCCTGAGGTGTCTGATGACGACGACGACGAGGAGACATATGAAGCTCCCGCTGAGGAGGAGGAGGAGGAGGAGGAGGAGGAAGGGGAGGAGGTCCGTGCTTCCTACGAGCCTCAGTATGAGCGTGTGATTGTCGGCTACAGGCCTCGCTACAACTAGTAACATTTTCTGGCCATCCTTAACCGCCCTGTTGACGCCATGCGTTATTTGTGGTGAGAGTATGATGCGTATACCTACACGCATACATACACACATTCACCCACGTACACACACACACACGCACACACACACACACACACACACACACACACACACACACACACACACACACATATATATATATATATATATATATATATATATTGCTATATATATAATAAATATGCGATGTGCGATAAACGATATGCACATGGATGTGTTCCCTGTTACAAGTTTCACCCTTATCTTATGTACAACGTTGTCATTTGTGTGTCGTATCGTCGTCAATACTCTGTGTTTCTATAAAAGGGCGATTAGCTGTTCATCAGTGACTACGCCATTCATGTTTTTGTTATCAGCGACGAGGATATTAGTGTAAGTTATGATGCAAAAAAATAGCACCGGAATCGGAATGTGTTTTCAGGATGCTGAATCCCTTGCAACGCCAAATTAAAACATCGCGCGTTATTGACCGCCAGATATTCGGTCATTAACAACAGCTGTACAACAAACCTAACCCACTTCTATTCAAGCGTACGCTTCGACGACTTAAATTGTCAGTCTTTTCAGTTCCTCCATTCATCTGCATGATTGCCACTCATCGCCAAAAGCACTGCTTCGGGATGAATTCAGTACATATTCAGTGCCATAACGGACTATTATCTTTTGCGTATGCCCCGGGAGAGATTTCGGAGACTTCAGAGACTATAGAGTGTTTCTTGACACAATGACGCATGTGGTGTTTGTTCATATAGAACCACTTCGGTACGTCGCTGTTCACCAGATACCCAGCCATGTTCTAAAGTTAGGTGCTTGGCTCCTCCACCCAAATGTGTCCGCCACAAGCCTACACCGAGCGTGAGTCATCTACAAAGGGCATAACATGCTGTTGCATGCGTGCGTATCGTTAGGTGCGTGCTGTCAAAGGGTGATTTGACTAACAATGCCATGTCAGCCGATCAGAAGTTTACATTCCCGGCGGTAGTGCTCCGACATCGTGTGCGCTAGGTAACACCTGCAGCGCGAAAGTAAAAATATAAGAAATTGCAGGTCGTATCTTTGCAAATCAACACTTCGGTGGTCCATCAGCCATAAAGTGATGCGCATTGGGAATGTAGACAGAATTAATTACGAAAATAAAATATGACAAGTGTGTTGCGCTGGCACCCAATACCACCATAAGAGTGGCATTGAGTGCGCAGAATTCCAATCTCTCGGTTGAATTATGCTTTGTTTTCAAGAGACGAGGTTTTATAGACATCAATCCGCATGGTGGTCGGTCACCGGTAGCTGTGCGCTGTGACAGGGTAATTTGAACAAAAGCGGTCACGTCAGCCAATAAAAAAAAATTCCATTGCCGACCGAGGGTGCTCTGAGAATAACATTGTTTACGCAAGGTTAAACTTTCCGTGCGCAAATGTAAATGGTTACAAATCGTATGCCGTGCTTGTGTGAATCGACAGTTCCGCCCGCCCGGCAGCAGCGGTGATAAGCTATTCGAGGGGAGGGGGGGGTCAACTGAGTAAAATCTTAAAGAAATTCCGATGAGTGTGTTTCAGCTTGCATCTGATAGTCCTAAGCCAGTGCTGTCGAATGCACACGGTAGTAAATTCTGGGGTATGGATTTAAGTGTTTTTTGGATCGCCGTATTATGGCCATCAGTTTACGTGCAGTCCGGCCCGAGTTAGCGCCCAGTGATAGATTTACATTGGCGGATTTTAGTGCTCCGACAATCCCAATATGTGCGCAAGAATAAAACAAGAGCAAAATCCGTGCAAGACAGAGTAAAATTAGACGCCTGATCTTTGCAAATCACCGCTCCGCTGGGTCCCCAAGCAATCAGTGATACGCTTTTGGGGTTGACAAAATAAAAGCGAAGACAAAATCTGGCATGGAGCCGAAATATCAATCCATCTCTCTTTCCATTCTAGTGCTTATTCTACGACGAACAATGCTATTAGTACTGTGCTATCTACGAAGCTGTCAATCGGTGATCTCTCGCCTTCTTTTCATTTCTATGACGCAACCAGCCGTGACCAGACCCCGTCTTCTCAGCAGCCAGTTGAAGAAATTCGGCTTGGTGATCCCTGATTCACCTATGATCTCGACCGCAGGCCAGGTGACGTTAAGTATGTGGTCCCACATGAGCCTGTCTTCCTATTACTCCATATATGTCATACCCATGAAAGCGAAACTTTCACGTTTATACGCTGTCATTAAGATTCAGTTACAAAGCCGCCTACGGTAGTCGCCGTGGGGAAAATATCCGAGCTCTTTAATAAACGCGTGATCAAAAGTCCTCTTAAAAATGCATCTTAGGAACATCAGCTAGATCAAATTCACACGTTCAGCAGCCTGAGGAAGAAGCTTTTAATGAAATTGTTTGACCGAAAAGGATATAACGCTAGCGGTTACGGCTAAGGCATTCGTGCCGTCCGCGCCAAACTTAATAAAATGTTACATACCATAATCTCCGCTGAGAGCAACAATGGACGTCTAGCGTCCTTTCCAAAATGCATTACGGGGTTATACGTCATCACAGCTTAGGCCATGTATCACTGAAGACCTATTCAGTGACCAATGACAGGTTGATTCAATTTCTTGAGCTTGCTTTGGTGTCAAAATGATTGGAAATGGATTGTGCGTATGTCCGTATGTGTTTGGTGCTTAGACCTCGTCCTCAGATGCATAATGTTTTAACTGATGATACACGTTTAATTATATATTGTTGAGCACGCCTCGTATTTCGCCACATTTGAATGTTTTTGGTCCGTCTGATCTACACTGCGTTGAAAAGGACAAACGAATTTCTTGCAACGTTGATAAACGTTATGTAGCTTAAAATAAAGTAAATGAATGCATGCGAACTTATCTATGACTTCCCGAAAACAACGAAGGATATTGAAACAACCCTGCAAGCACAAAGAGTCTCAGAAAATGTATGGTTGCCCTTGCATATCACAAAGCGTTTATGCACACATGGAAACCAACATACGGGGACCAGACTATCATGTGGTGTCCATAAAACTAGATCAGTATTTGGTGGACGTTTGCAAGAATCAGGGGCAGCCAGATCATATATAGTCAGTCAAACTTGATGTACTACTAGAGATGCTAGTAAGGGCACCTTAGTGTCGCGCGGGAGCAGGTTGGCTGTCCAAGGGTGTTGAAAACTGAGGGATGCATGCTCTCATCACTCCTGTAGTTAGCACCGTCATTGGTTGGTCCTCTAAGATGTGAAATATCGGGCAAACCCGCCTCACCGGCGCCGCGCGCCAGTCTCTGGTGACCTCGACGGCGTCCTTGTCTGCGATGGCCCGGTGACAGCTGACAGTACAAAAGATACAGCGACGGGCGGTAAAGATATCAGTCTACTACTGACGGACTGCATCAACTCAGCATGAAGCTGGTGAGTACTGGCGTCATTAAAACAATGACACGCGAGTAAAGTTTGAAAGGTTTCACGCCACTCCGCAAGACACATGATTGAATTGAATACCACAGTAAAAAATGTATGGTGACCTTCATACACTTCTCACGGCACAGCGTTGCCTATTTCCTGACAGAAATGAACCTCTTAAATAGTGCGAGGCATACATCTAACGTCCACTTCGTTCCAGTTCGTGTTCGCCGCCGTTCTGGCCGTGGTAGCTGCCGCTCCGTCTGACTCTGCTTACGAAGAGGACATCATCGAGATCCTCAGACAGAACATCGACCACAACGACGACCACTCTTACCAACAGTCGTGAGTCAATGAGGAAGACTTTGAAGCTGCTCGTATTACACCATAATTATGACATCAAAATTCATCCGATATATTCATGATCAGATACCAACTCGGGAAAGTCACAAATGGCGGGCCAAAGCAATGTTGAAAATGAATTTGGTGTCTTTGAAGACCATGCCATCAAGTTTATTTTTGATTAGAGCCATTCATGCATCGCACCGTTTGTTCTGTGCTCCTGTCTGAAGCTATTAAAATAAAGTGGCAAATGCACGGAAGGCTAAAGATCAGTTAAGCATACAAACATGAACACAGGTCACAACGGAATCACACTGGCTGCCGGCACACGCCCTTGCCGATTGTCTTTGTAGACCCGCTCGTGTCGGTGTTTCGCATTTGTTTGGTTTCGCCAAACCAATATCGCCGCTATTCTTTACGTACGCCGATCAATTATCCACATAACTCTCAAAAATGCTAACGCGGCACACTGGGCACGTACTCATCGCTCATCACTCGCATCATTTAGCTGTTTCTTCATGATTGCAGTTTTGAAACTGAGAACGGCATCTCGGTGTCTGAGTTTGGCGAGACGGAGGATGACGACAGCTACAGTGTGAGCGGCCAGTTCAGCTACGTGGCCCCCGACGGCGTCACCTACACCGTGGTGTACTCGGCCGGCGAGGGCGGCTTCCAGCCGCAGGGCGACCACCTGCCCACCCCCGTGCCCACCGAGTACCCCACCCCTGAGGTGTCTGATGACGACGACGACGAGGAGACATATGAAGCTCCCGCTGAGGAGGAGGAGGAGGAGGAGGAGGAAGATGAGGAGGTCCGTGCTTCTTACGAGCCTCAGTATGAGCGTGTGATTGTCGGCTACAGGCCTCGCTACAACAAGTAACATTTTTTGGCCATCCTTAACATACCTATCTACCCATATAAGACATATGTACCTATCTAGGTAGATAGGTACATATGTCTTAAACGACATGCACATGGATGTCTTCCCTGTTACAAGTTTCACCCTTATCTTATGTACAATGTTGTCATTTGTGTGTCGCATCGTCGTCAATACTCTGTGTTTTGTTATAAAAGGGCGATTAGCTGTTCATCAGTGACTACGCCATTCATGTTTCTGTTATCAGCGACGAGGATGTTCGTGTAAGTTATGATGAAAAAAAATAGCGCCAGAATCAGAATGTGTTTCGAGGATTTTAAAACCCTTACAACGCCAAATAAG